GGCCTACTTTGTGTTAACCAACCTCGGTATCGCCTAAATAATCTTTACTTGGGGACCACAGAGTCTGTATCATTATGATTACTCACCAATATCAACCGACCTAATAGTTAAATACAAAAATACACTCCGGAAGACATTGTACCGTTGCCTATATGTCAATGACTTTGTCGAAACAATAAATGATGGATAAACCATATCTTGATTCATTTCTGACATTTGAACTTAACTAACCTTGATATTCAGATGCTCCAATAAGGTTGACGATATTCGGATGGTAGCCTACTTTTGCCATTATCATCAGCTCTCCGAAGAAATCTCGCCTGTCATTGTCGGTCGCACCTTCTAGAAGGGTTGAAAGTGGAATTTCCACGGTTTAATAACTTGGTACAGATTAGCATTATTGGGGCATCCCAGGGCCCTCCGTGAATCTTACTGTACCCTGGAGAGGACACTTCACAGCCACCACAGTCTTAAAATATTACCATATTGTGTAATCATAACAGACACCCATAAGCTGGTATTAAACTAGTATTATCATTTTTTGACGACGCATTACTATCGTACCATATCTAGTCTGCTATCTTATTTTGTAGCCAAAATATAATGCATAATTTACAAAACACTGACAGTCTATTAATTGATATTGTTGCCTTATATTTTTACCTAGTTAATATTTCTGTTTATTTTTCATGAGCGGACCGTTGGAATTGTCAATTTTAAATACTTTATCAATGACAAATATATATTATACTGAATACTGAATGCTGTCACAGTACCTTTCAACATTTTTACAGCTGCCTGTATTGCAGCTCCTTCCTTCTTTACCACTCCTTTCATAACTTGACCAAAGTTTCCTTCAGCAATCAAAAAGTTCTCCAGTATCATATTTTCCCAAGGGATCTTGTAGTACTCTGCCTTGGGTGATAGTATTGGCAACGGGCTTTTGCATGTTGGTGACATTGGACCTGGTGATAGGGGCGGTGACCCCGTACTTGAAAATGTAAACATACCAGGGGTGACAATTCCCGGGGAGCGTTGTGCCACCACAGTTTCGTTGTATTCGTTGGATAGCGATCTTTCTCTCAGTAGCTTTAGAGAATAGAGAATAATAACACGTTTGTTGTAGTAGAAAATTATACATATTGGAATTACGCCATTTTATTTTACCGTGTACCATAATTGGCAATGATCCAAAACAAAACATGCTGTATTGAATTGGAAAAAAAAAACTTCACATATAAATTATAATTTGGTCTAAATGAAGCCTTTGTTTACAATAAACACAATGGCGACGAAGATGACGGGAAAGTAGCAATTAATACTTATGGCGCTGTAAGCCACATGATGTATGAAGTAATTGTTTTTTAAAACTTCAGAAAAAAAATACCAATTTGCATCAACGCAAAAGTTTGTAAAAATGATACTACAAAGTTAAAGAAAACTGACTTTGGAATGTGAAAAAAAAAATTAAAGGTTAGTTTTTTGGCTTAATTTACTATACTTTAAACGGGTTCCGGTGTAAAACTTTTTTATTTAGTAAGAGTAATTACGACCTTTAACAGTAAAAATTCACAACTATTACGAGCTCAATAGTGAAGAACGTTGTAAAATAGGTTCTCAATCACAGTAAAAATTACTGAAATGGTATTTTGAATAGCCTATTATAAGGCTTGCGTACGACAACAGTGGTAAACAAAAAACAAATCAAATAATCATTTTAAGAAGAAAACATATATGAGCAAGAGAAAGATAAAAAAAGAAGAGGTTGACAGTGGATTTGAACACCGAACTTAAGATAAATGTAGAAGTAAGACATAATTTAGTAGGATTCTGTAATTTATGAAACTCAAAATAAAGGGGGTGTTTTTTTCCGTACCAAGTTTAAAACATCTATTTAAGGACGCTAAATGTGAAAAGTTTAGTCCCATAGGCCTATGCATGTTTTGTACCATGAATCTGAATTCTAGGCAAATGCCACGAGCCTTGACAAATTGATGAATAAATAAATAAATAAATAAATACAAATAAATGTTAATTTCAATATTAGCAATATCATTAACCTAATATTTTTTCTTACTTGTTGTAAGGTGACGCTTGGTAAGTCGTCATTATTACGACGTGATTTGCGCATGTTTAATGTCCACAACATCAGACCAATAATAATAACAGCAAAAATAATGCAGACAATAACTGCAGCAACGATAATTCCTAATCTGTCCTGCAGGCTAGAATTGGTGTTTTTTTGCGTGTCAGTAATGACTGTTTCAGGCGCCAGTGGCAAGCCTATTTTAACTGAACTTGTCGGTAGAGCCGGGCTCTGTGTACCTGCGAAGAAAATAAAATACTTTACGTTACAAATCAGAGAACAACTGTAAATGATCTATTAAACGCTTCCCCCTAATAATTAATAATTAATCCCCCTAACAATTAATTGCAGATAGGCCTATATGGGTCTATCTTTGTTGAATATCACTTATAATTATAATGTCGTTTGATGTTTCGTACCATTGGTATACAATCAAAGACCAATTTTCTTTTGCATATTAAAAAATACTAGTGTTGCAATAAGTCCAACTACTGCTCTTGAGTAAGAGAATTAATCCTGCTCCTGAAAACACACCTCTTACAAAAAACCTCCTTTCTTGAATAAGCTACAAACAGAACTCTCCTAATAATTTTATAAACGTTATAGCACTTAGGAGAACATGTTACTTTTCAAAATAGTGTCACGTGTTGTGTTAAAACAGTTAAAAATCTGTCATCAATAATTTCTCTCATTTATGTTACAACCCAATTTCATTTTATTTGTCATATAATCGATTGGTAGATACATTCATTTAATTACTGATTGATTAGTTGGTTGATTGATTAATTGCTTAATGATCGATTGTTGGATCGATAATGGAATGTCAGATGGGTAAATGAACGAAAGGAAGGAAAGAAAGACGGATGAATGGATGGGAGAAGACAATGAATGTATTGATTTTTTGATTGATTATTGAACTTGTGTGTATTACTTAACTTACTCGAAGGCGGTGTAGTTAACGCAATGAAATCATTACTCCATGGTCCATCGCCCTTTATTGTGTACGCCCTAATACGCAATGTATAGAATTTATTTTTCTCCCATTGTTTGAAAATTACTCTGCGGTTTGTTGTCAAAGCATCTTTCACCATGGTACCAGCAGATGTTTTGCCCTCGTACAGTTCATAACGGTATTTTATAATAACTCCATTCTTTTTATCCTCGCTAGGCTCCTTCCAGTTAAAAATAAAATCTGTTTCTGACAGTCTGTAAGTGATGTTCATCGGAGGGCCACTTGGCGCTGAGAAAAAAAATCATAGTATACAAAATATTAAAACGACAACGACGACGTCGACAACAATGAAGATGGTGATGATTTCTATGAGCGGACTGGCACAGCGGTTGCGGTTCTGTTTCTCAACCTTGAGGTCGGAGGTTCAATCCCTCACTGTGCACGTCGCTTGTGTCCTGGGCAAGGCACTTTACCTACGGTTTGTCTTTTTCCACCCATTAGTACAAGTGGGTACAGTACCGGGTTAGTACAAACACAAAAATGCGCTGATTAGAGCTGCAAAATTATAGAATTCTGACCAGGGAGCTAAGTATGGTTTCCTTATGTGCTTAATCCAATGACCGAGGGTACCGTAATAATTTAAAGCACTTAGAGGCCATGTTGGCATTAAGCTCTATTATTATTAAGCTCTATTACTATTACTATTACTATTGCTATCGTTATTGTTATTATTGCTATTGTTATTGTTATTGTTGTTATTATTATTATTATTATTATTATTATTATTATTATTATTATTATTATTATTATAAATGGTTAAATTACCAGTCTGATGTGTCGTAGCGTTGACAGTTGACACTTTGCCTAGCTTCGTAGTCTTGGCACTAACCATGATAATGTAATTAGTATATGGATTCAGATTGGTTATGAAAGTGTAAGTCTGCAAGTGTGTATTAATGGACCTAACTGTTCCGGATCTTCGTTCAATGTAGGTCACGTTATATGCTGTTATTTTTCCGTTTTTAGCAGTCGGTGCATCCCATTTGACGATTATTCTGTCGTCTGAATCCACAAAGACTTTGATATTCTGTACAGGTCCCGGGGCTAAGAAAAATTAGAAAAGAGTATTTATTTTACTATAAAGTTATCATATTTAATAAAATATAATTTATATATTATATATATATATACATATATATATATATATACTGTCTCTTATACACATCTAGATGTGTAGGTATTTTGAATAGCCTATTATAAGGCTTGCGTACGACAACAGTGGTAAACAAAAAACAAATCAAATAATCATTTTAAGAAGAAAACATATATGAGCAAGAGAAAGATAAAAAAAGAAGAGGTTGACAGTGGATTTGAACACCGAACTTAAGATAAATGTAGAAGTAAGACATAATTTAGTAGGATTCTGTAATTTATGAAACTCAAAATAAAGGGGGTGTTTTTTTCCGTACCAAGTTTAAAACATCTATTTAAGGACGCTAAATGTGAAAAGTTTAGTCCCATAGGCCTATGCATGTTTTGTACCATGAATTTGGATTCTATGCAAATTTCACGAGCCTTGACAAATTGATGAATAAATAAATAAATAAATACAAATAAATGTTAATTTCAATATTAACAATATCATTAACCTAATATTTTTTCTTACTTGTTGTAAGGTGATCCTTGGTAAGTCGTCATTATTACGACGTGATTTGCGCATGTTTAATGTCCACAACATCAGACCAATAATAATAACAGCAAAAATAATGCAGACAATAACTGCAGCAACGATAATTCCTAATCTGTCCTGCAGGCTAGAATTGGTGTTTTTTTGCGTGTCAGTAATGACTGTTTCAGGCGCCAGTGGCAAGCCTATTTTAACTGATCTTGTCGGTGGAGCCGGGCTCTGTGTACCTGCGAAGAAAATAAAATACTTTACGTTACAAATCAGAGAACAACTGTAAATGATCTATTAAACGCTTCCCCCTAATAATTAATAATTAATCCCCCTAATAATTAATTGCAGATAGGCCTATATGGGTCTATCTTTGTTGAATATCACTTATAATTATAATGTCGTTTGATGTTTCGTACCATTGGTATACAATCAAAGACCAATTTTCTTTTGCATATTAAAAAATACTAGTGTTGCAATAAGTCCAACTACTGCTCTTGAGTAAGAGAATTAATCCTGCTCCTGAAAACACACCTCTTACAAAAAACCTCCTTTCTTGAATAAGCTACATACAGAACTCTCCTAATAATTTTATAAACGCTATAGCACTTAGGAGAACATGTTACTTGTCTAAATAGTGTCACGTGTTGTGTTAAAACAGTTAAAAATCTGTCATCAATAATTTCTCTCATTTATGTTACAACCCAATTTCATTTTATTTGTCATATAATCGATTGGTAGATACATTCATTTAATTACTGATTGATTAGTTGGTTGATTGATTAATTGCTTAATGATTGATTGTTGGATCGATAATGGAATGTCAGATGGGTGGATGAATGAAAGGAAGGAAAGAAAGACGGATGAATGGATGGGAGAAGACAATGAATGTATTGATTTTCTGATTGATTATTGAACTTGTGTGTATTACTTAACTTACTCGAAGGCGGTGTATTTAACGCAATGAAATCATTACTCCATGGTCCATCGCCTTCTATTGTGTACGCCCTAATACGCAATGTATAGAATTTATTTTCCTCCAATTCTTGGAAAATTACTCTGCGGTTTGTTGTCAAAGCACCTTTCACCATGGTACCAGCAGATGATTTGCCCTCGTACAGTTCATAACGGTATTTTATAATAACTCCATTCTTTTTATCCTCGCTAGGCTCCTTCCAGTTAAAAATCAAATCTGTTTCTGACACTCTGTAAGTGATGTTCGTCGGAGGGCCACTTGGCGCTGAAAAAAAAAAATCATAATATACAAAATAATAAAACGACAACGACGACGACGACAACAATGAAGATGGTGATGATTTCTGTGAGCGGACTGGCACAGCGGTTGCAGTTCTGTTTCTTAACTTTGAGGTCGGAGGTTCAATCCCTCACTGTGCACGCCACTTGTGTCCTGGGCAAGGCACGTTACCTACGGTCTCTCTTGTCTCTCTCCACCCAAGAGTACAAGTGGGCACAGTACCGGGTTAGTACAAACACAAAAATGCGCTGATTACAGCTGCAAAATGTGTTTAATCCAGTGACCGAGGGTAATAATGTAAAGCACTTAGAGGCCTTGTTGGCATTAAACTCTATTATTTATATTATTATTATTATTATTATTATTATTATTATTATTATTATTATTATTATTATTATTATTATTATTATTATTATTATTATTATTATTATTATTACTATTATTATTATTACTACTATTACTATTACTATTATTATTATTATTACTATTATTATTATTATTATTACTATTACTATTACTATTACTATTGTTATTGTTATTGTTATTATTATTATTATTGTTATTGTTATTGTTATTATTATTATTATTATTATTATTATTATTATTATGATAATAAATGGTTAAATTACCAGTCTGATGTGTCGTAGTGTTGACAGTTGACACTTTGCCTAGCTTCGTAGTCTTGGCACTAACCATGATAATGTAATTAGTATATGGTTTCAGATTGGTTATGAAAGTGTATGCCTGCAAGTGTGTATTAATGGACCTAACTGTTCCGGATCTTCGTTCAATGTAGGTCACGTTATATGATGTTATTTTTCCGTTTTTAGCAGTCGGTGCATCCCATCTGACGATTATTGTGTCGTCTGAATCCACACTGACGTTGATATTCTGTACAGGTCCTGGGGCTAAAGCAGAATTAGAAAATAGTATTTATTTTACTATAATGTTATCATATTTAATAAAATATAATTTATTGTAAAATATTATTTAAATATATATAAATATATATATATATATATATATATATAGGCCTATATATATTATATATATGTATGCATGTGTGTATATATGTAAATATGTATATATGTATATTTTATATATATATGTATGTATGTATATATATATATATGTGTGTTTGTATATATATATGTATGTATATATATGCATATATATATGTGTGTGTATATATATGTATGTATATACCTTTATATATAAATATATATATATGCATATATATAAATATATGCATACATATATAAATATATATATATATACATTTATATATATATATATATATATATATTATATATACATTTATATATATATATATATATATATATATGCATATAATTTTACATATTATATACCATCTACCTTTTTCTACCCTCACTCACTCGCCACTGAAGAAGGACTAGTGTTATCAGAAATCCCGGCTTCCGTTTCTGGCTGTTCACTTACATCTATCTACTTTGTAACTTTACCTACATTCAAGGTATGAATCACATGGAGAATTTTCTAACTGCTTATCCTAAAAAGTTTGTTTGAGTTTCATAAATGAAAGGCTTATGTAGAACTGATATACAACTTCACATATTGAATCTGTGGTAATTACCTATAGATACAATTGCAGAAAGTTACAGTGAAAATGTCAAAAAGTCTTTTTTATACAAAACACAAAAGGAGAGCCATCTCAAATGATTTTCGTATGTATGAACATACCCCCATCTTCCGTTTTGACACTTTGCATTGTAGAATGCGGACCAGTTCCCCCGCAGCTTACTGCTGACATTCTGAAGTAGTGGAGTGTGCCCATTTGCAGACCAGTAATCAAACATTGATTTACGTCTGTTTTTGGAACAATTTTTTCTTTCCAGCTCCTCAATCCAGATGGTCGGTAGGAAATAATGAAGTCTGTAATGATCATGTTCTTGTGAGAAGGCACGAACTAAAAGTAAACAAAAGCATAGCAGATATTAAAATTAGATTAGGTTCTTAAGCAAAAATATATTTCAAATCTCCAATTGGCCCGGCAATCATTAATATTCGTTAAAAGTGTGATCATGTAATTTGCTACAATACCCTTACACGAAATAGTAAAAGACAAACTTACACTCCATGTAACTTTAATTGTATCTTCGCTCACTGGTTGTAAAGTGACTTCAGGTTTTACAGATGGTTCTGGAGACAATAATTGAAGATGTTAGTAATATTTTAATATTTGATATCATAAAATGGGGTATGTGTCAGTTGTATGAAAAAGTGTCTCTGAAAAGATTCGAACCCTCAACCTCTCGCTATCAAGGTGAGTATCATACCAATTAGACTTACGCTATAATCTGAATGTGTATGCATCATTATGACTATATTTTTTATAATTTAGAGTAACGACATACTGTTAAATCATACTTCACTATACTATAAAATTCAAATTATATTATAAAATTCAAATTAGAGTAGAACATGTTCTACGTCGTGTTATTTGCTGATGTGACCTTTTACATACACGTTTTGCAATTACAAAATAACATATTGTGAAAGTTTGTCGCGTCGGGTCTGTGTGAGTTAAACCATGGTTAAACGCAGACGCGATGGTGTGCGTCGGGGGCAGTCGCGTCGTAGTAGAATATTAAACATGTTTAATATTTCTCACGACGGCTTAAAACTGTCCCCGACGATAAATCGGGTCGGGCTGCGTCAGCCGACGCTGTCTGAGTTGGCCTTAAGCATGGCCGGCGGAACCGGGGGGCCGGGGGGCCCGGGCCCCCCACTTTTGGGCAAAAAATATATAATATCTGGAGATTTTTGTATGATCGGAAAGAAATGCAGGAAAAGAAAGACGGAAGAAGGAGGAGAAGGATGGGAAAGAGAATGTTTATCCAGTCCCCGACCGAGTTACATTTTCTCTCAACTCACATTGTCGGATCTGGGGGATGGGCGTCATCGGTCCTGACCCTTGGGCCAAAAAAAGGGAAGAAAAAGAATTCTAGACCTACCTTTTCAGGACCCGTGAGCTGATTTTTTTTTTTTTTTTTTACACTTAAGAAAATTAAACATTTGTAAGAACATAAAATTCATTAAAACACAATTCAAATGTCGAAAAAGCTCATTTCCCGCCATCTAGGAATCACAATTTTCCCGGGAGAGAGCCCCCGGACCAACCTTTCTTGTTGGGATTTATCGATACATGGAAAAAAAATACGCATGCAACTACTCATTTGTTTATGTATACACACATAAAATAAAAAATGAGAAAATTTACCTGACCGTTTTCAAGAGGGGGAAAACCTTGATTTTTGAAGAACAAAGTCATTTGACACCTAGCTCAAAAGTCGAGAAAAGTCATTTCCCGCCATCTAGAAATCAAAATTTTCCCGGGGGAGGACCCATGACCCCCTAGATTTGATTCCAGATCTGCATGATTTTATATTCCCATTCATCTTATAAGTGGGCCCCCCCCCCCACTTTGAAAAACGTTCCGCCGGCCCTGATTAAGGGATCGATTACCTTCACAGCTTAATGTGGCTCTCATCGATGGACCTTTTCTTCCTTCTCCACCAGGCCCAGGCCTTTTGAGAGCTACGCAAAATTCATATTCCGTATCATATTCAAGTAGCACACTCGTCAGAACAATTTCGCTATTTTCCAAACTTTCTTCGACTAAGTATTGTTGCCAGTCGGCTCTTGACAGACTTCTCTTGTAGTAAAGGAGTATAGCTCTGATTGGTCCATCACCTGAATATTCTTCAAAATTTAGGTCAATTCGTAAAAGACCGTCTTCATTGCTCAGGACAGATGGCGGTTTCTGTGGAACTGGTGGAACTAATGAGCAAAACAACATTTCATTATATTTGTAATTTGTGACCTGTACTGTATAATTTTGCAATCTGGTATCTAAAATAAACCACAGTTTTGAAATCAAATTAGAACACAATACAAAATATAGATAGTAATATTTGATCTGTGAGTTAATAAGACATTAAATAATAATTTAGGTACAGTAATACCACAGTGACTATGCAAAGTTGTAATTCGATATTGACAAAGACAGTAGACGAAAAATTCGCATCTATAAATGTTAGTGTTTCTATAGACGACTTCTTACATATTTGCTGTCTCTTATACACATCTAGATGTGTATAAGAGACAGGCTAATACCTGTAAATGCAAAATTGCAGCTTAGTAAAATATTTGTGCCAAAATAGATGATAAAAACAACAGCGATTCTGTGATGGTAACATTGTACCTTCCTGAATTTAAATATTGCTTTCAATCATCAACTACTGAAATATAAACAGTGTTTTACAAATGAGTATATAAAATTTCTAATAAACTATCTTCAAAATATTAATATTTTAGTACCAAATCTATGAAAAGAAGTAGGCCTATTAAATATAATAATATAGAGATTTATACTGCGCATTTTATCAAGGGATACCGTACAAGGCGCTGGTGGTGTTGTTATTATTACCTCGGGTCATCGGATCCATGATCAAACCAGCACAAAGTGCAACCTCCTCCGCTCCATGGGGAGTATTCCTAGTCGTGTGTAGGCCTACAATTTAATGCCAATATAAATTAATACTTGCAATGCCACCTCATCCTATCAGGTACCCATCTATACTCTTGGGTGGAGAGAGGCAAACGAAGGTATAGTGCTTTGCCCAAGGACACAACCAAAGCCACGAGCGTTGGTCTCGAACTTCCGGTCTCACGATCTGAGGTCCTACACCTCACACACTGCGTCACACGCTCCTACCTATTTTAGGCCTATAGGCCGACTATTATTTTTATATTAAACGTAGTCATTGATTTAACTCTTAAATACTGTTACATTCTAATATAACCGATTTCAAGTAGTTTCGTCAGATATTTAAATATTTTATTTATTTTAATTTTAGATATTTTTTTTGCAAAATTTCAAGGAAATGGTTACAATTAATATTGTTAATTTCACAATGGGCACTATACACAAATTATAGTAATACTACATTAGTAGGTAAAGATGTGTTAGGCATACCTTTGCATCGAAGCTCTGCCACGACCTCAGTCGTTCCACCAGAAGACGTCACCTTACACGTATAGTTTCCATTTTTTGACATATCTACATCATCTATATTAAATCCGTAAATATTGGAGTATTCAAAAGATGGTTCAATTACATTTCCAGTAGGAGAAAACAATAACACATCTACGTTTATTCCCGCTTCGACATGACAATTCAGACTTCCACTTTCACCTAAGTTTACCTCATCGTCCTCCATTTCTGCAACCGGATTGTTGCCTAAATAAGAAAAGACTACTGTAATTAATCAATGTGTTAAGTACAAGGGTTTAATTATTTGAATGATGTTTTTTATTAGCTGCTTGTGAAGAGTATCCCCAATTCAGCTTTTAGCTGCTAAGGAACTCTATTTTGCCAACTAGATTCTATTTTTATAAAGATTTTGAATTGAATTGAATTGAATAAATACGAAGAGCTTTAAATTTTCATGAAGGCGTGAACCCACAAGGAGAATGCCTTTAATCCTGACCGTTCTGTGTTCTCTGTACTACTTAGATTCTGGACACACCATGTCATTCAGACGGATAACGTTAACTCAGCGTCCATGCGCAGTAGATTGTAAGTGACGTCAGTATATTTTATATCTTACCGTCGATGTGCAATCGAAAGCTCCTTAATAGTTACATTCACTGAATCAGAATAGACCTTTCCGGAGTGTCAATCAAACTTAACAACCGACTAATCAGAACAGCTCTAGGAATACGCGCGCGTCTTACAAACACACGTGTTGTCCCACAAACTCACGTGTCCGCGTATGTTTTAACACTGCCGTCTTGTGGGACCTTAGCAACAATATCCAAGGGGCGGAGCTTAGCGGAAAGGTCCATTATGGACAGAAGGTCCAGATGCTTGCTTTTTGAAAAGCATGAGATCTGCTTATGAGAAAGCATCTTTAAACACATTTAAAACAATATTTTTAAGTTTTAGAGAGAAGCTGCATTAGCTAAAGACTCGATATAGCATAAAAAATGATAAATCAGTGTCATTTCAAAAATTCTCTATTTGAGAAACGTACCTGTTTGATCTCAGATTCTGAAAAATGTAAGCATTCCTGAATTTTTTTTACTATAGAATAGTCTGTTTTAATCTTACTAAACTTTTTTTTAAACTAATACCCTTCTTTTTTTCTTTGGCTGATCATTGAACTTTACTGACTCATTAATTAACTTATTGATTGATAGGTTGATTGGTTGAATGCATAATCAGTTGGCAGGTTTGTGGATTAATGGATGGATTGGTTGGTCTACATGTTATTGAAATTTGGTTGAGTGGTTGAGTGTGTTTATGGATTGACTGATTAATAACTGATATTGCCTTGTGTGATTCATATTTTGTTCTCAGACATAAACTAACCAATAACGTTGACAGAAAGTGAATGTACAGTGAATGTACTGTTTGCCATGCAGACGAATCTCAACTCCCCGTTTACACCGTAGGGTGTAAAGGCATAATCGGTAAAGCCTGAGAAGATTTCCTCTTCAGCGTTAGACATCTGGGGAAGATCCTCACCGATTGGCTAAATATAAAGAAAATAGTGTAGTAAAATTAACTAATGTGTTATTCTTTCCGAAATTATATTGTCATCATTATCATCTTATAAATCATCATCATCATCATCATCATCATCATCATCATCATCATCATTATCATTATCATTATCATCATCATCATTATCACCATCGTCAGTATAATCTTAATCATAGTAGTCATATCATCATTATCATGGTCATTATTATTAGTATCATCATCATCATTATTATCATCATTATTACCATCGTTAGCACTATCTTCATCATTATTATTCAGTTCAATTTGGCGTTTCTGTCCATCTTTCCAATCATTTGATTGTTCTTGTTTGTTATGGTGTGTTTAGTAATACAAAAAAGAAGAATTGGATCATAATTAATCAAGTATTATTCAGAATTATAAATCGCAAAATATGAAAATTATTTCAATTCCTACGATTTCATGGGCATGTAGAATCGGTTAGTATTTACATGCTGGAACGTCGAGTTTCTACGTAATTGCGCATAGGCAGTTTTGGGAGATTTTGACGTGTAACTTTTACGTTGTTGTGATTTCGAAATTTTTTTGATTGTGAAACTCACCTTAATATTAAGATCAGGACATTGAGAGGCGGGAAGGTGGCAAGTACACCTTAGTACGACTCTTGTTTGGTCCAGAGAATTAACTGTTGTATGGCTTGAAGTAAATGAGATTTCTACGAAGGAAATATGTTTTATTTTAATTTTATTCTTATTTTATTTCCTATGGCGCTTTTAGGGAACAATAGTAAAAAACCAAACAACATGGAAACACGGCAATCATTGACAGCACAAAACAACCGAGTTATAATATATTCAGCAGAGCAAGGAATCAGATCAGCTGTTGACACTCATGAATCAAGGGATTACTTTTCTTTAGTGATTATATAACATTCAGTTCTTTCTTAAAGAGTTTTAATGAATAATATGTACCGGTACGTATATTTAGTGGCAACTGTCCTGAACACTTCTGAGTTTAAAAAATGTGCTCCATGGTTGAAACCAAGACACAGCAGAGTATTAGTTAATAATTTGTAGGCGGTTATTTCAAGTTTGTGAATGGTTTACTCTTTTCTATTGTTTAACCTGATATTAGAAAGTAATGGAGAGTCCAATGTATATAAAACGCATAACGCTTACTTTCTGATTGACATGTAGGTCCTGTCCAATGTTCAGTGCATATGCAGCCTTTTTGTTTGTCGCAACCAGCGCCATTCATACACAGTAGGCAACTCTGGCTGCAATCAGGTCCAAAAAAACCGTCATCGCATTCTGAAAAGTTCAATAATATAACTAGCCTATGTTCTATTATGTGAATATAACACTATTGTTTAATAATAATAATAATCATTATAATAATAATAATAATAATAATAATTATAATAATAATAATAATAATAATGATTATAATGAAGATTACTATTATTATCATTATTATTATTATTATTATTATTATTATTATTATTATTGTTATTAGGCTATCATTAATATTATTATTATTATCACTATTATTATTATTACTATTATTATTATTATTAATAATAATAATAATTATATCATTATTATAATTGATATGCACATAATTCAAAGCTAAGTTAAATAAGACTAACTTATAATAAGAATACCTTATTAACTTTAACCTAACTAATTCTAATGATACAAAGGTATATTTCTGAATTTGTAAGCACGAATATCTATTTTGAGAATTGCATTTGCTTTTTACCAAGTGACGAATTATTTAGTTATTACCAGTAAGTATTACTTACCACGATCACAATTCAGACCTTTCCATCCACTAGCACATGAACATCCATAGGGATCATGAAGGCAGAACTGCCGATTCTGGCAACCGTCGGCTGGGCATTCGTAATCACACTTTGCCCCAAAGAAATTTCTTTTGCATGCTAAAATGAAAAATACAAAGGACCATTTAGGAAGTACGACCTTAAATGATGACCATGAATTGTTTTATTTCTGTCAATTTTCTTGTAGACTAAACGACAACTAGAATTAGTTGAAACGAAAAACAACAACAACAACAACAGTCTAGGGCCTATATTTATGAAAAACAAAATACAAAGATGTTGAATTATGTTTCAATTTACAAGACTGTCATCAAGTCATGTATAAGCATCGGTTGCCAATTGTTTGAACGGCGTTTACTGATACAACACGCAATAAATAGTTTACTCCATAATCGTATAGGTGGTTTTGAAGGGGGTGGGGTAGCACACTAAAGCCTAAGTCATGATTACCATAATATGTAGCAGTGTCTTTCTGCAGGTAATGCTTTCATTATTAGATGTATTCAGTTGTAGCTGGTAGCGGTCTGTAGGCTACATTAGAGCAGAATGGAGCAATTGTATTTCTGAACAAACATGCTATTGGCAGTCACACTAGGTCACTGTTAAAATTCGATTCAAATTGAAACAGAGATGTGCCGTCGACTGATATAATACTTGTATCTAAATCAAAAACATTTTCATGAACATCATACTGTTAAACTTGAAACAATACACGTCTATACAATAAAATTACGTCTTCAAACATTTTTTTTTTTAGAAAAGGACGTGACCTCGCCATAATAAGTTGACTGACTGGCGAATTAGCAATTAAGCGCTTCCCGGTCTTTACGTTTAATGTATTTACGACTGAACGCGTCCTGTATGAGAAGGGTACAAGAATGAACCAGTGTTTAAAAAAATTCTAGTGCGTTTAACGATGTATATACTTTCTGTTAATAGTTTACGGGATATGCAAATATGACTACGTGCTTTTTAAAGCATAGTCAGAGAACTTGGACATCAATATCGGTGTGATAGACGGTATCGATTCCCTTTTTAACGCAGCATATTATACAAAATACAAGGTTCTTTTATTGTTACTAGTACACAATATACAAGTAAAATTGGTCTTTCCGATGCAAAAGTAGTATAGAAGTTAGACATAAAGCAGAATATATATATATACATATATACATATACATGTACATATATATACATATATAAATAAATATATATATATATATATATATATATATTTATATATATATAAAACTGGAAGGCTGCATTGGAAAAAAAAATAGATAAAAAAAAAAACTCATATACATATATACATATACACATTTTTTTAAAAAGGGCAAAATTTTTTTTATAGGTGTGTGTATGTGTGTGTGTTCAACAAAGTACCACAATACGTATTCCAAAAACTAATATAGATCTTTACCTCCTGTATAAGATCACACACAACAAAATATGAAAGGTCACCGTGACATCATGCTACCCCGAGTGATTCCGATCGTATGAAAATAGGTACTCACCAATCTCACAGTTGACGCCCCGGAATCCTGGCGGACAAATGCATTCCCCAGTCGTATGATCGCAAACACCTCCATTCCAACAATCGACGCATGCCTGATCACATAGTGGGGGATTCCATTTCCCATCCTCACATTCTAATGAAGAAAGTGATATATATATTTAAAAAACATAACTTAGGTCAAGTTCACACGAGAGCCCTAGTATCTGGATCGAGAGCTAACCGTTAGCACCTGTGTGAGAACGCCTGCTCGGTTAGCGTTAACCGTTACCAGGATCCGAATAAGCTAACGGTTAGCAAGCGCTATCGGTTAGCAAGTTCAGCGCGTTTCTATCATCAACAATCACACGTACGCGTGTACAATTTCCAGTTTCCTATTGGCCAGTGATTCTATCATCATATTATTGGTATCCGGATCAGAATTTTCTCGTATGAACGCTGGTTCCAGAACCTGCTAACGGTTAGCAGGATCTGGATCCTGCTAACCGTTAACTGTGCGTGAACATAATTAGTTAAGTTTATAACATGAATATCGCCAAAATAATTCGCTAGTATAATACACTCTACAAATTATTCATTTTAGACCCAAAAATAAATTAGCCACTGAAAATGTATCAGTTATGGACAGCCATTGACTATTCATTCTAGTTGGCATAATGTTATTTTTCATGATTTTTATATTGTATACCTTGTGTATAAACCTATTGCGTATATGTTAATATTGTTTGACATAAATTTATCATCTTCTCAAATAGTCCTACTAATTGAACCATAATTTATAGAGAAACATGTGGTCGTCCTTTATCACTAGGCCCATATGATACTAGGAGATAGTAGCCAGTCTACTGGTCTAAAGTTTTGCACAGCGCCACAGCGGCAGAATTGGCACGAATTCAAACGTAAGTGGCACTATAATCAGTGCAATTGTTTGTTTTTTTGTTTTTTTTCTCTCTTTTGCCTGTGCCTGTCGTAAATCAATGCGTATATATTTTTTAGGTACACACATACGCACGACAATGATTGTATGTGACAATTAATCCCTTTCGCATGACAAACACACACATATGATGCTTTACACAACCCTAGAACCCTGCCCTGGGATCAAAAGGCAAGCATATTAACCACCAAGTTATTCAACTCTACACTCTACTCTATAAAAAAAGTAAAAGTTGAAGGTAAAGTTGGGAACCGTGGTAAAATTGCGTCCTTGTCCAAGGTAAAATAGGCTTACGTGTTTATTAACCCACTGACTACAATGTATACGATGTATAAGATGTAGAATATGAATGAATCTTTCCATACACTATACTGTATGTTGGTATAGTGAAGCCTATTTCGACTGGAGAAACTCCACAAAAGAGTAGGGAATGATGATGCATAATGTACGCACCTGTAATACTTTAATAGGACTGCAGCATGTACACAGAATATTGACCTATAGGCCTATCAAAGATTTTACCTCTGACAATAAGTCGAGTTGATGCTCCCGATGATCGGCTACTGTTTGGGTAGGCTTCATAAACACCAGAATCGTTAACATTTGCACTGAAGATGGTGTACGTCTGCATGACCCCACTGACGTTGATCTCGGAGGGATGCAGTTCTAAATTGCTTCGTCTCCATACGATTTGATCAGATGTTTGGCCAGTCTGCTTCATCACAATATCAACGCGATCTCCTTTGTTGACTGTCATCGATAATTTCAACGGTGAGACAATCCCTAAGGCCAAAACAAATTACATGCTATAGTAAAGATGAGTAACATACAACTACATTTGATTGGATTTATTCGGTGTGAACAACAGTATATCCCACGAAAATCGTATTTCCAGTCGGTTCTTTCTGGTGATGTTTAGGAAGTACACTAAGATATAATCCCCTCCACTTTTCCAAATAATAATAATAATAATAATAATAATAATAATAATAATAATAATATAATAATAATAATAATGATAATAATAATAACAATAATAATAATAATAATAACAATATATAATAATATATTATTATTATTATTAACAACAACAACAACAACAACAATAAATAAATGTTATGTTTATATAGCGCATATTGGCACCTTGCCCCTATGTGCTTATTACACCGATGAAAATAGAGAAAAAAAAAAGAAAAATTGAAATATTATACAAACATTTTCGTAACGGCTATTCCTAAAGACTGTGCACCTTTTTTTTTTTTAGTTCCGATGAGGATCTCTAAAAATACTAGGCGATTGATTAATAATAGATTCTTTTTCGGCTGACTGATTATTAGATTATTATTGTATGGGCGGCCGTTAGGGCCAATATACTCTAATGCCTCTATTAATAGATTTGTTTTATATGGGCGGCCGTTAGGGGGCAATATACTTTACTGCCTCTATTATACTGCCCTCATCGGAGCTTTTGAGATCACGAGAACTTGTTAAACTTGCATCTGAACTCTCCAACCAAAACAAGGAGAGCAAAGGATGGGGTTGAGCCAGGTACCAAAGATCATCAATGGATCTTAACGGTTCGGCGCACCACTAGTTTAGTTGACTAAGCGATCCTGCTCTCATAATTAATTTAAAATGTACATTAAAAAAAAAAATAGGCTCTACTGATTTTCACATGCAAACTGACACTAAAGTAGAAACGGTACATTGTACAGGAGTCTAATGTTGGAAGCACCGCATGAATGAATGAAAATGAATACATACAGTACATGTATAGGCCTAAATACGAACATATAAACAAATACATAATAGTAATAATAATAATAATCATAATAATAATTTTAATAACTACCATTTTCTGTTGTATTTCCCTAAATGTATTTATAAATGTTCGTAATGATCTTATATATTTTAACAATTTTAAAAATCTTATGATCTGGATGTTGATGTATTTTTTCTGGTTTATGGATGTTGCTCGTTTTTATGAATTGCGAATGTTTTTGTTGACTTTTTGCACTGGGCCCTGTGGGAGAACAGTAAATATGCTACTGAACAGGTTTTCCCAGTATAAAGAATAATTAAATAAATAAAGAAAATAAAGGAATTACATTTAGAAAATCTATAACAGAAGTCCTGACCACACTATACTGATTTAATATTAATTAGGTGACTAGGCGTACATGTATGTATATAGGTCTATATATAATATATTATATATTGTTTGTACGGAGTGCTTGTTGTCGTTTTTTACTAGGAAGGTTAGCGTTATTGATCATCCTATTATCATGTATCCACCGGATACAGATGGTATTATTCAAGAGACCACAGACCTGTTGAAGCTACAGTTTACCAGGGGCTGACTTCACTAGGGAAATCTATTTCAAAATCGCTTAACCACAAATTGAAATTCAGTAGCACTGATTTGAGATTATAGTACTTATTGCTTCAATAGGTCACTTAGGATCTAAACGCTTACATTATTTTTGAAAGCTTATTCATCTAAGGAGGAAATTAAACTTTTTCTACATATATATTTTGATAAACAAAAATTATAGGTGATTCTTTGTATAATTGCTCTAATAAAATTGCTAATATTAATTTCAATATCAATTATAAGACTTATTATTAAGTACAAACAAGGAAAAAATATTCCTAATAATTCATAATTTTAATTTTTCCTCACGTGAGATAGTAGCTAACAAAGGGAAATCTTAACCCTGTACATGGTGTAAGCTACCATAACATACACCGTTGAACAAGATGCAAAAACATGCAATAATAACAAGAATAACATCATAATAAATATAGTATATAAATAGTAGTAATCCAGTAATAATAATAATAATAATAATAATAATAACAATGATAATAATAGTCATAATAATAATCAAAGTAATAATACTAATAATCACAATTTTTATAGTGATCATAATGAAAATAACAATAACAATAACGATGAAAAACACAAATAATTGATTTCTAAATGCCATCAAGAATTTTTTTTTTCCGGAATTTGGAGATAGATGGCGATTGTCTGCAGGCTAAAACGAGGTTGTTCCATAGCAAGGGGGTATTGTGAAAAATGAAAAATGCAGTGCGTTAGTGCGTGCAGGAGACATGTGGCGTGTGGGATGTGGTTTGTGTGTATTAAAAGATAAAAAGGAGGTATAGTCCGGCAGCTTAGCAGATGGATGTGGACGTTCCGGACAAAAGCACCAATTTTTTTTTACATGCTTCTTATGGTCATAGCATTCAATTTTTGGTAGGAACCACCTCATCTGAGGTCATTAAGGCGGCCATCTTGGATTTCAAAATGGCCGCCTAATAAAACCTATGTTTATCTATATCTTCGCTTCTAAACCACTTGGAATTATAATTCTAATGTCTGAAACTATTTTTATATGGTCAAGGAAAACCATCATACCATTTTTGACATGGTATTGCCACAAATAGGTCATTTAAGGTCATTTAGGGTCATTTAAGGTCAAATATTGTATGGTATCTTAAAAATTACATAATTGTCATATTTTACATTAGAACCATACCCTGACTCTCAGAATTCAAAATCTTTACTATGAACTACAATATTTCATTCGAGGTCATTCTGGCGGCCATCTTGGATTTCAAAATTGCTGCCACGCAAAACCTATATTTATCAATATATCGGTTTTTAAACCACTTTAATGAGAATTATGATAT